AGATCTCAGGAGCTGGATGAGCGTGAATTTCCTTTAACTGAACGTTGACAAGACGGAAGCCATACTCTTTGGCTCTCATCAACGTCTAAAATCACACGGTTCTCACCTCTTCCACCTACCCGACCTCCCCCTAAAACTCTCCAAACCCGTACGCAACCTAGGCGTCAGGTTCAGCCCCCAATTATCCTTCGTCCCCCACATCCAGTCCCTCACCAGCACCACCTTCTTCCACCTCTGACGCATCGCCCATCTCTGCCAATACCTCACTCCAAAAGCCGCTGAAACCTTGGTCCATGCCTTTGTCACCTCTCGGCTGGACTATTCAAATGCCCTCCTCGCCGGTCTCCCTTCCACTACCATCCATAAAATCCAGGTCATACAAAACTCTGCTGCTCGCATTCTTAGCTGCACCAAACTCCGCTCTCCGATTACCCCAGTCCTTGCCAGACTGCACTGGCTGCCTGTTCCAGAGAGGATCGACTTCAAGATCCTCACTCTTGTCTTCAAATCCCTCCACTCTTCTGCACCCCCCTATCTCTCTGACTTCCTCTCTCCTCAGAACAGTGCCTGTTGCCTTCGCTCCACCAGGTCTGGCCTCCTCCTTGTCCCCCGAGTCCTCCACTTCACCATTGGCAACCGTACCTTCAGCCACTACGCCCCGAGGCTCTGGAACTCCCTTCCTCACTCCCTTCGCCTCGTCCCTTCTTTTCCTATTTTCAGGTCTTGGTTGAAGACCTTTCTTTTCGACTGCATCTTTGGTCACCTTCCTCCGCCTCCCCCTGGCTCGGCCCCGGGATTGGTTACTGTGAAGTGCTCTGAGATGCCATCTGGCGTGGAGGGTGCTATATAAATCCAAGTTGTTGTTGTTGCCTGAACTGCTGAGCGTTCCAGCGACTTCTGTTTTTGTTACCAATGGATTATATCCAATGGATAAAATTCTCATCCTCTAGCCTTCATTTTGAACTGCGAGTGCAATTTAGTGATATTTGTACATGGCTTGTGTAAAATCTGGAACTCTCTCCCCCCAAAAGGCTATGGAACCTGGATCCATTCACATTTTCAAGATGGAGGTGGATAGATATTTGCATGGTCAGGGGATTAAGGGATACAGGGCAAGGGGCTTGAGGTACAGATCAACCATGATCTTATAAAATGGCGGAACAGGCTCTAGGGGCAGAATAGACTACTCCTGTTTTTATGTTGCTTTGTATTCCTGATCTGGTGCATTGTGGCTGTTGTGGTAAATGGATTCTCCCTCATGATTTCTCACATGGCGAATTTTTAATCTCTGCTGTATTGTTGCGGTAGTAGAAATCGGAAGCAGACTATTACCCACAGAGAGGGAGAGGGGATTGGAAGGAGAGCCCTACAGAGCTGCTTTTGCAAATAGGCTAAAGGCAGGTTACAAAACAATGTTGACAGTTGTCAAGGGGTAGGTTTCCTGTCCTCCCTTTCAGCCCAGCTATTTTGTGTGGTGCAAAGACAAAGAAAACGTGGCGAAAATAAATGTCTCGTCTTATAAAAACAAATGACAGCAAATAAAAGGAAAGGTGTAATACCTGGTGCTGCAGCAGAGTCTTGGCAAAGATATAAACCTGATGTATTTAAAGGAAGCTATGAACATTCATCCACAGTTGCTCAGTCTGATACTAATAGTGAAAATACAGTAAGATGTGACTCTGTATCTTTGCTGTCTCAAAGCAGTTTGATCTGTGTTCAGAATCAGAGTGCATAGTGAGCTGCCAAATCAAAGATAAACTGGAGATTTTTTTGCTGCAGAGAGCAGGGAGTGGATGTGTCTAGAATGATCAATGAATAAAGGTAGCAGTGTGAAACATTGGTGGTCTGGAGGAAGTCATGCTACTAGCATGTGCTGATAGCACAGTTGGGAGTCTATAAGCATTGTTCTTGTATTTTCAATTCATGTGGACCATTAAAATAACCAAATTTAATGTCAGCCGAAGGGATGTTTCTTTCAAAAGCGAATGCATATTTCCCTGCAGTGTAGTCATAGTAACAGTTCAGGGAGTGAGGAGGGTAGGTAATGACATACTGTGGTGATCAGTGTTGCCCAATGGCTACCTGTAACTACTTTAAGAGGATCTCTCTCATGTTGCTCTTTTGTAAGTTTCATATGAAATCATCAAGAGCTCAGATTGTATTAGATATGAGATCTAATTTGTGCATCAGCTTGTATCTGTGAAACTCAGTGGATTTGGAACTTGCAAGACCTTGCATTCTGCATGATATGATTTAACTTGTAAGAACAAAATGGGATCTCTATGGGAGCTGGGTGCTGGTAACTTGTCCAGCACTGCTGACACTGCACAATTCTCAGAAGGCGAAGAGACATGTGGGACTTGTGAGATCGAACTCACGACTTTGAATTGCTTCGAGACGTCTTCTTGCTGTGAAAAGTGCTTTTAACTGTTTTGGTCTATTCTGACAGCAGTAAACTGCCAGCTCTGGGATCATTCTTATGAACCTATGTGATACTCTTTCCATCACTACTATGTCCTTCTTATAGTGGCAAACACAGGAACAGGTGCAGGAAGTAAGGGCTCTGGCCTAAACTGACCTGTTGCTAAGCACCTTGGAGGCGGCTTCACAGCGGGTACGTCTATTTGCCAAGGCCCCTCACATGAGGGCCTGGATTACGCAGCTGGTACTGACTTTGCATTGGACTTGGTCCTCGAGAATATCAAGGTGGCTGGCATGTCACAAGCTTACCTGTAAAGGTCCTCCCACCATACTGAAGGCAGATGTCTGCCAGATAGCTGATGAGGAAACTGAGGCTTGGAGTGGCAGCTGCTGCAAGGCGTTACCTGAACATACGGTAGTACATCCAACACCTGGAATCCACCTTAATTGTCCAACAGAGAGGCAAGCAACTGCCGTCTTTACCCTGTACCTCCAATTCGGGATACCATTGCTCAATGGGAAAGGATGTCTGCTCGAACTGCAGACAGGAAGATGGTGGCAAATCTCTCACACATTTCGTGCAAAGATGTGTTGCCCACCGAGAAGCTCGCAGAGAGTTTCTGGTACCTATCATCCATCTAGTGAGGGCTCAAACCTGGGCTTGTCGGATGTTTGACGACCAACTAGTGACTATCCTCCTAGGGAGGGATCTCCTTTGAGCTGAATTAGCTCCAGATCCAGATGCACGACATAAAGAATAACGACTTGAACTGAACATCTGTAGAATTTTAGGTTGAGGAAAACTTTATTATTATTATAACTGTATCAATATGCTTAAAACTCCTGAGTATAAGTTTATTTGTAGCAAAATGTTGAGCCACCTAACTCAGCGTTACTGAATTATCAGGAACTAGAATTTAGGTTGCTGTTTCCCTTCCTCATCCAAGCACTGATTATTGTAATGGATCTTGTACACTGGCCTATTGTATTTACTTGTTATATTTATAGAGAATAACAGCCTTATGATAAACATATATTTAAAATAGGGTAATTTATTTGTCCATCTTGGCAGCTTATTATTTGGAATAACAATGATCAACAGTTTTAATTATTTTTCTCCTCTCCTGAAGCTGCTTGATTCTTTTTTGTTTCTGCAAGGCTATGACTCCATGGGGTCTATGTCCCTCTAGTTCCAAGCTTAAGTGATATTATCCATGTACAATCTTTAACTGCAATAATTAGCAGGTTATGTGGACATCAACACAGCTACCCTTTCCTCCACTGGTCATGGATAAGTAGGAACCCCGGCTGATTTCCCCTCCCTAACTTGGGGGAGAGTGTTGGAGGTCAATGGTAGGGTAAAACTGGTAGAAGCCAGGATTTTGGACTGGTTCTTTCAAAAAAAATTTTGATGCTGCTAAAGTATAGAGAGGTATGGAAGGATAAGGTTGAATGGGTTGAAGAGCCTTTCCTGTAGTCTAATGTACAGTCTCATTTTTGGATTTACACTGTAAATAGAGGTCTGGTTTGCCTGTTCAGGTGGATGTCAAAGATCACATGAGGCTCTTTGAGAAGAAAAGGGAGTATCTCCTGGTGCCCTGGATGACAATCCTTAATATAAATTGATCATTCACTTCAAGGATATTTTGTGGGATCTGACGTGCGCTAATTTGGCTACCATGTTTGCCTACAAATATGCAAACACTTCACTTTATAACAATTACTTCTGATATTTTGAGATGTTCTGATGTCTGGGGTACAATGTCAAACTGATTCATAAGTTATAAGGTTTTAACTGATCTGTTCTGAATACTGTAGTTCATAAGACCACGAGATTGGTTTGGATGAAATGTACCCCTCGGCTCAGCTGATCTCACCGCTTCAGAATACCCACCAACCATCCTCCCGTCACATCATCAAACAGCTTTTTAAATGAGTCCAGTATCTTGAACTCACCCCCTTCCTGGCAACCTGTTGCAAGTGTTAATTACCCTTTGAACAAAGAAAATCTTCCTGGTATCTTTTCTGAAATTGCCATTTGCAACTCTAAACCTGCACCCTCTTGTTCTCTCTTGGTGCATCCTATAGTATTGTTCTGGGTTTGCTTTCATAATACGATTTAAAATTGTAGACACCTCCATGAGTCATCTTCTCTCAAGATTGAGTTGCCATTATATATTATTGGACACAGTTGGGAGTGTATTATTGTTTCATTGAAACTTTGGTTAAAGGCCATGGTTTGTATTTAAGGGGTAATTTAAGTAAACTTTACAATGTTGACTCTGGATATTATTTTGTGTCATTATTCCACTTCTGTTTATATGGACTAAACATCTAAAATGTATGCTTAACTCAACATACATTACAATATTACTAACATGTTACAGAACAGGTTCGGCAGACTGAATTGCCTTCTCCTATTACTATATTCCTAATTCCATTGACAGTTGTGTCTATGTCCTGAATTTCAGTGATCACCACTCTAGTCAGCAGTTGAAATTGTTGTCTGACGAACAGTTAAGACTTGTTTTCAGCATAATGTTAACTATGTTAAACCAATTCTCTCATTGTGTTTGCAGGTCTTGCCCGAGCCAAGTCAGTGCCCAGCCACACATATTCCAATGAAGTAGTTACCCTGTGGTACAGACCTCCAGATGTCCTCCTCGGGTCCACAGAGTATTCCACCTGCCTCGACATGTGGTAGGTACAGTTGCCTGCATAAGGGCGATTTATTTTAACTGCTTTGTTGTACCTTTAGCCTTGACAGGTTTGCATCAGAATTGGCATTAAGTCAATGTGTAGAGGTGAGATTTCATTTAAAGCGACCCTTAGGGGCCAATCCTTTATCCATTATGAGCAAGCTTTGAATTTATTATGAACCTTATTACAGGCAGGTCATAGAAAAGAGAATACTCTGTTTTATCATCATAATTACTATTGACTGGTTTCTACAAAATCACGTTTAAATTACAGTGCCATTTGACTTATGTCATACCCAAGGACACAATTTAAAATAAAATTATTCTGAAATACGCTTTGTTAGACCGGAGGAATAATACTTTTATTATTGAGCTGATGAATGTTTACAGCATTAACAGGTTATTAAAAAAAATAAAATCTTTTTTATTCCTTATTCTATTTGTATGGACTAAATCTAAGTGTACATTTTAGCTATTTATTCTGTATAAATAGAAGTGGAATAATACTACATAAAATCACCAGGCGTTTCTCCAAGTATCCTGGCCAACAATCAATCCTCCAGAGAAAATTAGTGATTCACTTCTTGGCTATCTGTGGGCCATTACTGTGTGCAAATTGGCTGCTACGTTCAACCTACACAATACAGTCACTCCACTTTACAGTAAATCCTGTGAAACGCTTTCAGGAGTTTTGACACATGATAAGAGCTATATTAAACACACTATATTGTTATTCAAGTAGATTTGCATTTGTCAGTGTAAAATGAGGCTTGTTTTTTTTAAACAAAAAACTTGGTGGTGATGTCTTTCTAAGATGGTAGCATAAAAGTCAGCCAAGAGAGATACGGGTGATTACTGCACATATGATGGATGGTGCAAAATGGTGTTCAAGGATGAGGCCAATGGTCCTTTGCACCAGCTGCTCGAGACTGCAATTAGTGGACTGCTGGGAACTGATGGGGAAGCACTGGAATATGGCTAGAGGTTATTTTTTCGCTTCACTGAGTGCTTCAGAGAATTGAGAAAGTAACTAAGGACTAATGTTCCCTGGCTAATGATCAGTACAGACGAATCAATTATAATGTCACCTGCAAAGAAAATGGATTTTGAAAGAGATGTTGGTCAGATGAGACAGCAACAGAAACAAACAGTTACTGTCGGTCCGTCAGCAGTTTCTCCTGAATGGTTAGCCCACTGTTTTCCTGTGCCCTCTGTGAACCTGTCCAATAAAAAGAAAAGCAGAATCGAGTAATGCTAAGTGTTCTGGTGCACCTCCTCCGTCCCTAGTGGATGTGAGCACAAAAAGAGGTGAAAAGTCAAGTGCATGTGTGCGGATTTGTGTCTATCCTATGTTGAGGTTTATCCCTTCAGGAGCGGTGGAGAGCAGCATTAATGTTTAAATACTACAGTGTGGTCTGAGGGTTGTACATAAGTACATCGAGTGGTTATTTTCTATCATTTTCTGGCATGTGAGGCCTCAGAGGAGGAAGTATGAATCGAGAAAAGGCCGTCATTATCTGAGCCTTTCACTGTCCGTGCAAAATCTATCCTATTGTAAGGTTCACTTTGACCACTCTGTATCCTAAGTGAGTTCTACCTAGGTAGTCTCCAAACGAAACCCGACAACAGTTCCAGAATATTATTTCCCACATCTCCACTGTTCAAACCTGACTTTCATTCCTTCACTGACAACATGCTGCATCTCTAGTCCCAGCATTAGAAAGTCATTGTTTCCTATGAAGTATTTGTTCCATCTCACACACTTCCTTTATCCCTGGATCCTCCAACAATATTCCAAAGCAAACACTTATCAAGTTTTACTTTGATGACATTAGCTGATGTGGCAACAACTGCTTTTGTTTGGAAATCTATTCCACATCCCTCTCAATCTACAGGAATACATTTCTTCTCATCTGTAGTCAACCATGAGGCTTCTTAATCTTGAAACTCCAGTTTTGCTCTCCTGATCTGAATAAAATAGCCTGTTTCATCTACACTTAAGACCTTTTTCTCCCAACTTCTCAGCTCCCATCACCACCAGCTCAGGCTCTCAGTCGGCTCTGGGAATCACTTGAGGCATCCACCCAATATGAAAGACGCTATATAAATATTAAAATTGTTGTTGTCTAGGCCCTTTCATTATTCTAAAAACCTACATCATGTTACTCCTCCCTACCTCCTCCACCCACCCCCCCACCAACCCACCACCCACACACACACACAAAGTTTAGTTCTGATTATAAAATAAGCTAATTCAGTGAGCTTTTTTCTCAAACCTTAGATCGCCAAGTCCCAAAACCGATCTTGTAGCTCATTTCTGAACCCTCACCTATAGCAGGCTAGGCAACCAGAAATGTGCACGATATTGCAAATATGGCCTCAGCAATGAATCAATTGTCTTTTTATTGAAGAACCACCACTCTTGAAGGATTCCTACTGAAGCCCCTGTGTTTGACCCACAAAATATACAGTCAATTTGCTTTACAGAGAAATAATTAAGCTCCCAACTTAAAAAACAATCCTATTATTTTGACAGATTTTGGAAACATGGTAATAAATAATGCATTAAAAATCGTAAAGATTCTTCTGCTTCTCATGTTGCTGAAAGTATTTGCTGAGGTATGCACTATGTGCGGAATCCTCAAGAAATGCAAAGTATGCAGCTTCTCAAATATTTTGCATTGTTCAAGGTTGTCTTAGCAGCTGAATGATTTCAGTACAATTTCTTCTCAGGTTTTACAGATCAATTTTGGTGCATGTAATGGGAGTTAGCTACATTTACAAAAATCCTTGCATTTTATATAGTGACTTTCAAATCTGGAAGACGTCGCAAAACACTTCACAGGATGTACTGTCAAGTGTGACTGTTGTAAGAGATTTGAATGGACACGACCAATACGGTGGTGTAATAATCCAGGTTTTATTAAGTAATACAAATAGCTTAACTTATTCTTAAAACCAAGACCATAGATACAATCGAATCAATATCAATGCCACTGGGAAGTGTGCTGACCCTCCACATAACTTCAATGATTCCAAAGTTACCTCTTTCATTTATATGTGGACTCCTGTAGCTCAGTGGTTGGAGATCTCGCCTTGCAAGTGTCACCTGGGTTCAATTCCAGGCAGAGTGAAACCTTGGGCAAGTTTCCTTACTCCACATGCCTAATAATAATCCCTCCAAAGCAAAACAATAATAAATTGGTCATTTTCAATCCACGATGTTTGTGGGACAATGCTGTGCGCAATTGGCTGTCGCATTTCGCCCACAAATATACAGTCAATTCACTTTACAGTCTATTCTGTGAAGCGCTTTGAGATGTCAAGAAGACGTGAAAAGCGCTATATCAAATGCAAGGATTATTATAATATATACCCCAATTTAGCCCATGTTACTCTTACAACCAAAAATGAAATTGAAAGATTGTTTTGTCCAATCAAATCCAAAGTTTGATTCGCCAGTCAGATCCCCAGGCTGGTTCATCCCATCACATTTCCTTACTCAGGGAACCCCATAGGTTATCAAGGTTTAATCTCAGGAATTTGAGAGTTGCTTCTCGAAGCCTCTGATAGCAACTGTGAAAAGTTCATTTTGGCAGTTAATTGTCTTCATTGACACCTTGAAGTCATAAAATCTTCTCCCAACCAGACCGCAAGGCACCAAGAGTTCAATTAATCAGGACACTGTCCTATCCAAATACATTACTGTTGGACCCCAATCTTCCAAATAAGGAAGGGAACAACATCCATCTATATCAAATCTTCACAGAACCCAAAAACACAAGACGTCAAAAGAAACTCTCCCTCACATTCCTTAAGATCAACCAAAATATGTCTTATCAATTCTTTTATACAAATTGGGGTATTAAAACAATGGTTTTAGCCATATTCTTACACTGTGTATTTTGTGGGTAATCATTGGAAAAGAGTTTGGAGAGAAGCATGAAAATTCAGGATTATGGTGGTTAGATTCAGTGCAAGAGTTAACACCTGCACAAACTTGAAGACAAAATGACATCCTTCTGTGCTGTAATTTCTACAATAGTATTGGAAGTTGTCAGTATTAAAATAGGTTCACTTCAGGATCAGAAATGCTGACATAAGGAATACATAGTGTTAGTTTCCACTCTCATGTACCAGCATTCCTGTCCCATCCAAAGTACCCTGCTGATGAAATTAACACATTGTTGGAAATCTTTACAAGTGTTGGAGATTAATTTACTGACAGTGGTGAGTTATGCTTGCATTAAACTTAAATTGGGAACCAGTTAATGCTTCATTGCAGTTCAATAAAAACCTTTTTAAAAAACAAAAGTAGAGAGCATGAAATTGGGATTAGTGCTGTCAGCTCCAGCGAAGACGTTTGGTCGCAGCAGAGCCTCGATGGTCTGAGTAGCCTCTGTCAATGCTCTAATTTCTGTCTAACTATTTGCAATTGCAAAGGTGCAGTCTGATGAAAGACTCCAGTCAAGACTGCAGTGTGTAGCGGAAATAAAACGGTGCATAATGGAATTAAAAGAGCAGATGTTATAAATAAAAAGACTAGTGCAGCCTCATTATGACACTTCACTGTAGCACAAATTTGCTTACAACTCAATGACACTGTGGACACCATTCAACATATATCACTATATATGTTGATGATTATGTGCTGGCTGGCTTTTTGTGTTAAAATGATTGACTTCCGGTTCAGTGCATTGACATCACATCCTCCTTTACTTGTGCGACCAAACCAGCACCTAGATCAATTTAATAATCTGGAATTTGGCCATTTTAGCTTCCCGTGCTTTAAACATAGCAGACTTCCAGGTCATCAGGTCACTGTCAATATTACTTGCTTCATGTTTGCACAAAGTCAGACTTTTTTTCTTTTACAACAACAACCACAACAAGATTACATTTTTATAGCGCCTTTCACATCGGGCGCTATAAAATGTCCCAAGGCGCTGCAAAGTGCGGGAACCGGCCAACACACAAGTCAGCTGGTTGCATACCACATAGCTATAGCATGAGTCAAGCTTCGCTATAATACAGGTTATGATTTTATGGATTCCAAACACCCCATTATAATAGGGCTCCACTGCACAAATGGGGGTCGGGGGGAGAAATGGAGCAGGCTGGGGGCTGCCAAGTGGACAGGTTGATAAGGGGTCAGCAGGTCAGAGATGTACAGGGTGCAAGACTATGAAGGGCCTTGAAGGTGAGGACGAGGATTTTGAATTCTATCCTCTGAGGGATGGGGAGCCAGTGAAGCCAGGTGAGGGTGGTGTGATGGGGTCACGGAGCCTAATGCGAGAGAAGATATACGAGCTGTGCAAAGTTCTGGATGATCTGCAGCTTGTGGAAGGAAGAGTTGTGGAGGCTGACTTGAGGGGAGTTTCCGAGTCGGGCCTTGAAGTAACGAATGTGTGTATGAGGGTTTCGGCAGCTTGAGGGGTGAGGCAGTGGCGGAGTCGGGCGATGTTGCAGAAGTGGGGGAAGGCAGAGTGGGTCATGGCATGGATATTGGGGAGAAAGGACAGTTGAGGGTCGAACAAGACACGCTTGGCTTGGTGAGGTGGAGCGTGCATCCGTGGCTGCTGATGCTGTTAGTCCCTGAGGTGCGGAGGCGCTGGTGCGAGCCAATCAGGAGGGCCTCAGTGTGGGTCCAGGATTGTAGCTGTTTTTAGTGGGATGGGAACGACACCAGATGATAAGGAGAGATTGATGGTGTCGTAGAGTAGAGGGGCGAGGAGGTGGATCTGGGCGGTAAGGAGAGGGGTGGGGATGGGGTCAAGGGAGTAGGTGGTGTGTTTTATGCTGGATATGGTGGTGATGAGAGAGGAGGGGGAGGCAGGTTTGAAAATGTGGAGGGAGGGATGGGTAATGATTGGAGTGTGGTGGGGAGACGAGGGCCGGTTTGGAGGGTGGTGAGTGACTGGGGCATCAAGAGTGATGGAGAGGGCGTTGTGGAGGTGAGTGAGTGAAGAGGATAAATCAGTGCAGGAGGGGGAGGAGTTCGGATGACCCCAGGGCAGCGAAGCGGGATTGCTGGGAGATTTTTTTCCATAGGCGATAGGAAATGGAGGTGGGTTTGGTGGCAGTGGGGAGAGAGGTTGAGGAGTTGAAGGAGATGAAATGCTGATCAGAGATGACTTTGTCTGTGATTGTGATATCTGAGATGCTGAGGCCCTGGGTAATCACCAGGTCGAGTGGGTTGCCATGAATGTGGGTGGCAGAGTGGATGTGGAGGGAGAGGTTATGCGAGGAAAGGAGAGAGGAGAAGTCCGAGGAGATAGATCAGGAAGAGGTGAAGTGAAGATTGAAGTCGCCGAGGGTGAGGAGGCGTTCAGAACAGAGATAGAGGGAAACTAGGAGGGTACAGATGTCAAACATGAAGGTGGGGGAGGTTTTTGGGGCAGTAAATGAGGAGAATTTTGAGGGAAAGATTAGAGGGATGGTAAGGAGCACGAGTGAGGGGAAAGAGCCGGAGGAGTAAAGGAACAGAGCAAGTGAGGTCCTGGAGATGAGGGCCACATCATCACCAGGGCGGTTGGGACATGTGGTATGCTGGGAGGTATAGCCGGGTGGGGTGGCCTCAGTGAGGGGGAAGGTGTTGCCTGGGTTTCAGGTTTCAGTGAGGGCCATGATGCCGATAGTTTCATCAACGATGAGGTCACTGATGGTCAGAGCCTTGTTGCAGAGGGAGCGGACATTTTGTAGGCTAGTGCAGTGGGGACAGTTAGCAGGGGAATGTGTGAGATGGGAGGGCATGATGGAGTGATTGGCAAGGAGGATGGGAATGAGGATGAGGGAGGAGAGGTTGGCCCCGGGGTCTGGGTCTGGTGGGGCTTGTGATGATAGTGAGGAATGGGGCAGTCAGTGTGGCTTCTGATGGACAGCCAAAGCCGAGTGCCACGGTGAGTCAGGCGGAGAATTCCCAGGCTGGAGCTGAGGGAGACTGTGGGACGGTTGAGGGCGATAAGAGGCGAGGAGGACGGAGAGAGAGGAGGACAGAGTGGGAGAGTTAATAATAATAATAATAATCCTTGCATTTGATATAGCGCTTTTCACGTCGGGAGGACGTCCCAAAGCGCTTCACAGAATATACTGTAAAGTGAATTGACTGTATATTTGTGGGCGAACGCGGCAGCCAATTGCACACAGCAGTGTCCCACAAACAGTCGTAGATTGGAAATTGACCAATTTATTATTGTTTGGGGTTTTTGGAGGGATTATTATTAGGTGTGTGGAGTAAGGAAACTTGCCCAAGGTTTCGCCCTCTGCCTGGAATTGAACTCAGGTCTCTCACTTGCAAAGCGAGTGCTCTAACCACTGAGCTACAGGACTCCACAGGGGTTGCAGGGTAGGGAGCATTTTTGGGGAAGGACAGCTCGGGTCGGGGGCGGTAACCAAAATGCGCACGCTGAGATTTGAGGGCAGGCAGTTAGTGGGACATGGTCAGCCCTTCTTCAGGAGAAAAGGGCAGGGAGGAGGGAACAATGAAAAACATAGTACCTAAATTAATTAATTTAGGCCAGTTCTTCAATGTACATCTCTTATTTTGTTAACTCGCATTATGTATTTGATTTTGTGTTGGTCCACAAATTACACAGTCACTACACTTTACAGTATATCCGAAAGTGTTTTGAGATGTCCACCTCACATGAAAGGTGCTATAGCAAATGCAATATTTATTATTATCTTTATCATTATTATACATAGGAGACTTGAAACGAAGGATGAGTGCTGCAATCTTTTCTGCATTGCTGCACTGTTTAGAATCTAACCTATCCTTATACATCAATTCAAGTTTCCTGATCTCCCCATTCGTCGTTAGTGATCTGGGTTTATGCAGTAACATTTGAAGTGTGGATGGAACTGTCAATGCTCAGAACACTACAGTGCGCAGAGATTATTACTTAGTTTTATCAGCTAGACATTTCAATCTTCAGGAAATACCTGAAGATGGGCTCTTGATGCTCAATGCACAGACCTTTAATTTTCTTCCATAATACAATGTGGAAAGTAAACCTCTTCTTTCCCTTCTTGAGAAGCAGTATTAATTAAACAGATTGTAGTTGACAATAAATACATTCATAGAATCACAGAATTAGACAGCACAGAAGGAGGCCATCCAGCCCATCGTGCCTGTGCCAGACAGACATCCAAATCAATCAATTAATACATTAAATAAATATAGAAATTCAGGGTTATATCATGAAAATATTTCTAATTCCTATTCCTCTTGTCTTTGGAAAGGGTGATCGAGTGGGATAAAGGGAGGAATAAATGATTGGATATTGTTCTTGTTGAAGAAACCATTCCATGACTGTGCAACTTCTGATTCTGTATCTGTAAACTGGAATAGCCTTTGATTAATGCCAAACATGGGTTCAGGTTTTGAATGGGTTCAGTAAGATTTATTTTCTCATCATTCACTCGCAGCGTTCTAATAAATGTAAATGATGTGTGACAATTCGGTCAATAGATCGCTCAGTATTTATTTAAGGAATAGACTCATTTTAACTCTGATAATCCCCCTTCCTCTTTGTGCTTCATAGATACTCCAGGGGTTTTATAATGAGTGACACTACACACATTACTAAGTACAAATTATAATAATGATTTTTCTTCTTGGCATTCAATTAAAACTATGGAAGAATTTAATATGTTAATATTTTTCAGATAATTTATTGTACTGTGCAGTAAATGCAGAATAGGGTGTATTTAGTTTCGCTTTGTTTTATTGAGCAGAGAATTACAGCTATTCTATTATTTAAAGTGTCGCATTTAGTCTTTCCTTTGTGTGAAGTACTGGCAATTTAGCATCAGATATTTCAAATGCGTTCTCCATGAAATAATTTTGCTCCCTTTTCTAGGGGTGTGGGTTGCATCTTTGTCGAAATGATCCAAGGAGTTGCTGCTTTTCCCGGAATGAAGGACATTCAGGATCAACTGGAACGGATATTTTTGGTTAGTATGTGCAAGTTCGGGTTATTTAGACTTCTGCCTGGTTTGGGGATTCACAATTAGCCGTTTTCCAAATCTCTCAAATCTAATGGCTGTAGAGATTTGAAAATCGAAAGTTGCAATTAACTCAACTAATCTGGTTTATGGACATTTCAAATTAGATCTCCATTATCAACAGTCAATTATTTGAGCAATTGATGCTAAAATGTATTGAAACAGTGTGTTTGCTGCATCAGCTGACGATAGTGAGACTTACCAATGAGATCCTTGATAAGGCCTGTGCTGCTCTTGATCTATACTGTATTGCATCTATAGATAACAGTCTGGGAGGAGGAGGCTTCGTGAGCTATTGGGCCACTCCTGATTGAATATTCCTAATCCAGAAATTCTTAGCAAGACATTTACAACAACAACAACAAGATTCCATTTATAGAGCGCCTTTCACGTCGGGAGGACATCCCAAGGCGCTGTACAGGTGGATCAGGACCCGAGCAGGGGGGAAATGGTCAGGGTGAGGGGAGGGAGCGAGGAGAGGGTAGAGAGTCGAGAGGGGAGCTGAAGGCACGGTCAAAGAGAAAGGTCTTGAGACCGGCCTTGAAGGAGGAAAGGGAGGAGGCGGCAAAGGCATTGGGGGATAGAGTTCCAGAGCCTCGGGGCTGAGAGGCTGAAGGCCCGGCCACCGATGGTAGGGCGGTTGGGGCGGGGGATATGGAGCAGACCGGAGCCAGAGGAACGGAGGGTACGGGCAGGTCAGTAGGGGGATAGTAGGTCGGAGAGGTAGGAGGGAGCGAGGCTGTGAATGGCCTTGTAGGTGAGGATGAGGATCTTGAATTCGATCCTCTGGGGGATGGGGAGCCAGTGGAGGCGAGCGAGGGTGGGAGTGATGTGGTCGCGTAGTCTGGTACGGGACAGTACACGAGCTGCAGAGTTCTGAAGCTTGTGGAGGGAGGTGGCGGGAAGGCCGGCGAGGAGAGAGTTCCCATAGTCCAGCCTTGAGGTGATAAAGGTGTGGACCAGGGTTTCAGCAGCGTGAGGGGTGAGGTAGTGCCGTAGTCTGGTGATGTTTCGGAGGTGATAGAAGGCGGTGCCAATTGTGGCGCAGATATGAGGAAGAAAGGATTTAAGGTGGAGATGTGATCGGAACAAAGCATCTGATCCTTAAATAATACGATTGGGAAGTACTTGTTTCTGTCACCATTGTATGATCGATTTTAAACTACTCTCTTAAATTGAGGAGACTCTAGAGTGCCAGTGAGAGTCCTTTTTCACCCGTCCAAAAATAAATCAGCAGGTTTATTTGATTCAGTCAGCGAAGAGGCTGCTCCATTCAGCTACATATAGACAAACTGCATTTGAAGCTGCTGGAAAACTAGCAGCAGTAATCTCAGATATTCTGCAACACTGTAACAAGGGGTTCAGGATACTACACAATGTTGGAAGTAGTTACCACAATGTCAGTTGTTATCATTTGTACTGGTTGAAATCTCAGACTCAGCCTTTTGTTTCCCAATTGTTTCGAAATTAGAGCATCAGATAATGTATCAAACAAACATTTAGATTAGCAAATTCTGGCAAACAATTTCAAGAGGGAAGATGAAACTACAATGATTGATTGATTGATCAATCGATTGATTGATTTAAATATTTCAAATATTTAAATATTTCTCTAATTCTGTTTTCCTCTGCGAAATAACCTAGTTGTGGAAATCACTTGTTTGTGTCCTGTCTCTTTGGTTACTTAAATTGTTAAGAATAATCAAAGTAGTTTGGAAACAGTTCCAGAAAGTGAGGGCAACAATTGATAATGCTGTAATTTTACATGCAATTCGATGAGGAATTGCTTTAATTTTAGTGGAGATTTATGTACTGTATAAATGTGCTCTCAAGCAAACTCCCTTCTCTTTTTAAATAGTGCCATGAGATCTTTAACATCCACTGAACAGGCAGATGGGACTTTGGTTTAACATCTCATCTGAAGGATGGCATCTCCAACAATGCAGCACTCCCCTAGGCTCTGCATTAGAGTGTCACTGTAGATTACGTAATTCCAAGTCCCGACTCAGAGGCGAGTGCCATACCACTGAGCCAAGCTAACACAGCAAATAAATACAGTACAATCTAATATAATCTAATATTGCATTCAAAACCCTCCATTCCTCTGCACCCCCCTACCTCTCTGACCTCCTTTCTCCTCAAAACAGTGCCCGTTGCCTTCGTTCCTCTGGGTCTGGCCTCCTCTTCCTCCCCCGAGTCCTCCGCTCCACCTTTGGCGGCCGTGCCTTCATCCACTATGCCCCAAGGCTCTGGAACTCCCTTCCTCACTCCCTTCGCCTCGCTCCCTCTCTTTCTATTTTCAGGTCTCTGCTGAAGACCTTTCTTTTCGACCTTTGGTCACCTTCCTCCTCCTCCCGCTGGCTCACCCCGGGATCCGTTACTGCAAAGCGCTCTGAGATGCCGTCCGTTGTGGAGGGCGCTATATAAATCCCAGTTGTTGTTGTTGTAATACAACTATCAAATCTATTTATAATGTTTGGAAACCTCTGTAGAATTGATCCTGACACAACGAGACAGTCACAAGAGATGGAAGTTAGCAAAATTAAAATAAAGGCAGGAAAGGGGCCTGGAAAATGAAATGGTGCATGAACAACAACAACAAGATTCCATTTATAAAGCGCCTTTCACGTCAGGAGGACGTCCCAAGGCGCTGCACAGTTGGGTCAGGACCCGAGCAGGGGGAAATGGTCAGGGTGAGGGGAGGGAAGGGAGGGAGCGAGGAGGGGGAAGAGAGTCGAGAGGGGAGCTGAAGGCTCAGTCAAAAAGAAAGGTTTTGAGACCGGCCTTGAAGGAGGAAAGGGAGGAGGCGGCGAAGGCACTGGGGGATGGAGTTCCAGAGCCTCGGGGCTGAGAGGCTGAAGGCCCGACACCGATGGTAGGGCGGTTGGGGCGGGGGACGTGGAGCAGACCGGAGCCAGAGGAACGGAGGGTACGGGCAGGTAGGTAGGGGGATAGTAGGTCAGAGAGGTAGGAGGGAGCAAGGCCGTGAATGGCCTTGTAGGTGAGGATGAGGATCTTGAAATCAATCCTCTGGGGGATGGGGAGCCAGTGGAGGCGAGCGAGGGTGGGAGTGATGTGGTCCCGAAGTCTGGTGCGGGACAGTACACGAGCTGCAGAGTTCTGAATGACCTGCAGCTTGTGGAGGGAGGTGCGGGAAGGCCGGCGAGGAGAGAGTTCCCATAGTCCAGCCTTGAGGTGACAAAGGCGTGAACCAGGGTTTCAGCAGCGTGAGGGGTGAGGTAGTGCCGTAGTCTGGCGATGTTCCGGAGGTGATGGAAGGCGGTGCCAGTTGTGGTGCGGATGTGAGGGAGAAAGGACAGCTCAGGGTCGAACAAAACGCCGAGGTTCCTGACTGGCTTTGAGAGGTGGAGAGTGCAGCCTTGGATGCTGATGGTGTCAGCGCCTGAGGTGCGGAGGCGCTGACGTGAGCCAATCAGGAGGGCCTCGGTTTTTCGCACGTTGAGCTGAAGAAAGTTGTCTCTCGTCCAGGACTCGATGTCGGACAGGCAGGCTGTCAGGACATCGGTGGTCGTGGAGTTGAGAGTAGAGGAGGAAAGGTAGAGTTGGGTGTCATCCGCATACATGTGGAAGTTAACCCCATGTCTGCGGATGATGTCACCAAGGGGGAGCATGTAGAGGGTGAAGAGGAGGGGACCGAGGACAGAGCCCTGAGGGACACCACATGAGACAGTGCGGGGGGTGGAGGAGAAGCCATTTGTGAGACAAAGTGAAGACGGTGAGAAAGGTACGACCTAAACCACTCAAGGACAGTGCCTTGAAGGTTGAGGTGGGAGGACAAGCGGTGGAGTAGGATAGCGTGGTCGACCGTATCGAATGCTGCCGATAGGTCGAGGAGGACGAGGAGGCAGAGGGAGCCCTGGTCACAGATGGTCAGGATATCATTGGTGACCTTGACCAGGGCAGTTTCTGTGCTATGGGCAGCACGGAAACCTGACTGAAGGGGTTCGAAAAGTGAATGGGTGGAAAGGAAAGAGCGCAGTTGGGAGGCTCTGTAAAGGTTCACAGAAGAAAATAGTTTCAATTATGTTTGTACCAGCCAGGGGTTAAAGAATAGGATGAGGCTTTGAAGGGTGCGATTGACAGGAAGTCAGAAAATGACTTAATTTTAAAAAGATTTTTCTTTGCAGTCTTCATGAAGCAGCACTTACAGGTCAATCCTGATTCCACAGTCGAGCTATCTGGGGGCATCAGCAGAGTATGGGCAGAATACATATTAATAGAATGAGGTTTCTAAAGAACTAAAATCCCCCTGGAGCCATTGAAAGTAGATAAGTGACTGGAATGTAACGGGCACATTCTTAAGGAAAGGAAGCAGTTGGTAGGTGATGTTTAGCGGATTTGTTGATTTCTGAGACAAAAAAGTACTGAGGACCTGATGTAGAGAAACTTGGGACAGCTGGTTTGAATAGAGAATAAGAATTGTCTTAATATTATAGGATTCACCCACAAAATATTCAGTCATTTCACTTTACAGTATATTCTTCGAAGCGCTTTGAGACGTCTCGAAGACATGATAAGGCGCTATATCAAATGCAAGGATTATTATTATATGTATATATATCCATGCATCATAAATATGTTACGTATTATATGTGAATATGTAAGGAGATTAATTTGTTGCAATTTTCAAAATAAAAGCAGAAGTACATTTTGATGACCCGCAGGAAATCTGCTCCACTTATATAGGATTCATGTAGGATTGAATAATAATAATAATCCTTGCATTTGATTTCTAGCGCTTTATTACATTGTCAAGACGTCTTAAAGTGCTTCACAGGATATACTGAATCAGAGCACTTTACAACACCCTCTACTTCCAGCAGTGTTCCTGTACGTCTGCATGACTTACTTTTCTTTCAAATCTTGGACCTAGAAGTTTCCATTTACGTATCAGACCCTATTAAGGAATCCTCGTAGCAGCTTAGAAA